ATATATGTATGTATATGTGTGTGTATCTATATATATATGTATGTATGTATGTATGGGGGGGGGAGGACATATATCCCAGGCTAGCTGGAACTCATTGCTGCCACCTGATTGCTAGTGTTAGAAGCACATGCCACCACATTGACCCAATCCCTTTTTACTTGTCTCTTCCTCCCTTCTCTTTCTCTGTAGCATATCTGCACATCAGGGGAAGGACTGGGAACCAGCATTGAGGTTCTCTTCTTCATCTCTTGTGTTGTAAATCCTCAAACCCAGGACCATAATCTAATGAGAACCCAGCTAGTTGAGATGCTGGTCTAAGAATTATCTCCCTGTTGCACAACACATCCTTAGCTAGTCTGTTCATTTACTCTTAATGTCAAAAATTAGCTTTATATTGTCTCTTCTCACATTGTATCTGAATATAACAGCTAAGTCTTTTTTTTTTTTTTTAACCACTAAATCATCAGTTTTAGGGCTTTGTTTCATTTTGTTTTATTCTCAGAGCAGTGGAGTACTTGATGCTCTATCAAATTCTGCTTTATGGGTACAGACTGAGCCAGAGTAAACTCTTTTTATAATAAGTTTGCATTTTAAAATCACTTGTCACAGGTACCTTCTCCCACAGTACTTTTTAAGTCAATAAAATGAAGTTTTATGTCAATTTCAGTGCCAGAGGTCAGTGATTTTAAATAGTCAGTTGCGTTTTTAAAAGGGTGAGATAAAACTTGTGGGGAAAGCTGTGTGACCTACTTGTTTGAATGGAATTTTCCATTACAAAAAAAAAAAAAAAAAAGAGAGAGAGAGAGATTGGTTTTTCTCTCTTTAGGTTTACAGGAATACAAAGTAAAGATTTAAGAACTGAAGAGAAGAAAAAGCAATAAAGAGAATAAAGAGACTTTATCTTTAAATACCTCATTCTAAAGCAGTGGTTCTCAACCTTCCAAACACTGCAACCCTTTAATTCAGCTCCTCATAAAATTATCTTTGTTGCTACTTTATAACTATTTTTGCACCTCTTATGAATCATAAATATCTGATGTTTGACACCCCTGAAAGGGTCTTTTGGTACCCCAAAGACACTGACACACAGGTTGAAAATAAATTTTCTAGAGTCTGCAAAGCCAAGCCTAGCAACCTGAGTTCTAATTCTGGTAGAAAGAGAACCTACTCTCAAAAGTTGTCTTTTGATCTTCACATGCGTTTGCACACAGATGAATGCACATGCATGTGGTCACACACACACCTACACTAAATAAATAAATATAATTAAATACTTCCATCTTACATAGCTAAATTTTCCTGCAGCCTAAGGTAGTTCCTAATTACTAATAGAAGATGCTTCCTTAGTTAGTAGAGGGTTCTTCTGAGTTCCTGTGTGGGAAGGTGCACACTTTGGGAGGTAAGTGACACTGGGCATCTCCTGGTGCCCTAGATGAGTCCAGGGCATTGTGTACACTACAAGTGGTGCAGTAAATAGGTCAGAAAGGTTAGTTCACACAGGAACATCAGGAAACTTGTGATAGTTTGAGGGGTCTGAATTGGCTGGAGGGAACTTTGGCGAGGGGATACTCAGGGTCGGGAGAGCAGGTTCCTTCTGTCGCCTTGTATTTTCTTGTCTCCATCATAACCATAGCTGCACTCGAAAGGATCCACTAAAGTGCTCAGTGGAGAAGCCACCTGTGGTGTTTGAGTGAGAATGGCCCCCATAGGCTCATCTGCTTGAATGGCTGGTCCCCAGTTTGCGGAACTGTTCTGGAAGGAGTAGGAGGTGTGCCTAGTTGGAGGAGCCCACACCACCTGGCCAGCTCTCTTTTTTTCATGTCTGTGGATCAGGAACTACTGCTCCAGTGCCATGCCTGCCTGCCTGCTGCCATGATACCCACCACAATGGCCATGGATGCTAAGCCTTTGGAACCTTGAGCCCCCAATGCTTTCTTTTATAAGGTGCCTTAGTCATGATGTTTTATCACAGCAATAGGAAAGAGATATTTGAGCAATCTACTGTTATGCTGCAGGGAGGTGAGAGAGACAGAATTGTTTTAAAGTATTCTGATGGCCATGATTTGTGAGTCAGTTTCACTCTTCTTGTTCTGCGTAAGGCCTCCGAATTCATCCTCTCTACTTGCACAAGCATTTGAGCCTGCTGAATCCCCCTTGTGCCCCCATGCCTCCTGTCAGGCCACTCACTCCCACACCCCTCCCTTCTTTGTCCAGCAGTCCTCTGCCTCCAGCTGCAGGGACTGCTGCCAGCCCTGGAATTGAGGTCTGTTCTAACATCAGACTTATTGGTGTGCTTGGGCTTTTCCTCTGTTTAAAAAAAAAAAAAAACAGTGGAAATTCTCTTTGGGAAACAAGCATCCTCCATAAGATTGCTCTACCAGGATACCTCAGATCCGTGTTTCTTATTAAATTTAGCCTGGTTGAGTCTATTGAGTAGCTTAAGCAGGAGTCTTTATTTGGACAAGCCCAACACCCATCTGCCATTGGGCTGGCTTTCCCTGCCTCTCTGCAACCAGGTCTGCAAGCCTCCCTTCAGTAGAAAGATTTGAAATGCTGGGGACAAAAGCAGGGCCACACGAAGTGATAGGGATGATGCTATGCCAGTTATCTCAAAATTCCTGTTCTCCCTGCTGAGAATAAATAATTCTGACTCTGGCTTCTGCTTCTGAGTTTGTCCTGCCTAACTCTACCCAACCCTGCTTTTGACTTCTTAGGATTCCTAATATTCATTCTGTACACCCCCACACTCCTATGCAGGTGTTAGCTGGGTGGTCTTTTCTCAGTTGGAACATGATCACTTATGTTTTAGGAGACCAGTGTTTTCTTTCTTCCTTAAGCAAAACAGGGTCTGTGGACTGCAGTTCCCACCAAGCAAGGGTCCAAGAGTAAATTTGTCATATGTGCATCCGTAGCAGCCTTTGGCTTATTCTAATAAAACAATGTGAACACTTTGAGAAGTGATAGCAGTCAGAATCAGGTCCCTCGGTTAAAGATGAAAATAGCAGATAAGTAAGATCGATGCTACTGATACCTACAGTTCATTTAAAAGAACATTTATTGTGAAATGTAGCATTATTTAAAAAAATATAAAGTTCTAAGCACCATCTAAAGATGTTTCTTTGAATTAGATTCAGGTGGTTTTAGATTTACTAATGAAAAATTTACTGTGATTCATTCTGACGATGACTAGATGATTGAATTTCTTTAGAAGGGTTGTCTTAGATAGTGTTGTTATTGCTGTGATGAAACAGCATGACCAAAAAGCAAGTTGAGAAGGAAAGGGTTTATTTGGCTTACACTTCCTCATCACTGTTCATCAAAGGAAGTCAGGACAGGAACAGGAGGAACCTGGAGGCAGAAGCTGATACAGACGAGTGCTGCTTACTGGCTTGCTCCCCTTGGCTTGCTGAGCCTGCTTGCTTATAGAATCCAGGATCACCAGCCCAGGAGTGGCACCACCCACAATGGATTGGGCCTCCCCCATCCATCCCCAAGTAAGAGAATGCCCTACAGGCCTGCCTACAGCTCAAATACTATGGAGGTGTTTTCTGAATTGAGGTTGTCTCCTCAGCTCTCAACAGCTCAGAGCTGGCTGTTGGATCTACTTCCCTTCCATTCTCCCACAGCCACTGTGATAGTATTACTCCCATTTTACAGATGACTTTAGCTTGTGTCAAGGTGACCTAAAACTAATCACCACAAGGGCCAAAACTCATTCTTAAAATGTTTTAAGACTATACACAAGAGGGGCCATGAGATGGCTCAGTGGGTAAAGGCATTTTTGTGCAAGCATGGTAGCCTGAATTTAATCCCTGGAACCCGTGTAAAGATGGAAGGAGGGAACTGACTCCACAGTATTGTCTTCTGACCTCCACATGCACACATGTGCCATGGCACACAGGATACGCCTATGCATGTCTGCACCCACAAACAAGAAAAGGATAAAAGCATCCGTCTGTCAGTGCAGGTTTTTCTTTGACTGAGGTTCTCCGTTAATGTTGACTTTTTACAGATGACAAGCTTAAAGTTCAGAAAGTAACCATGAATGCGTTATGTTAGTCTCTTGTGTGGCTGTGTCTGGGTCTCCTGCTGCGGTTTCTTCCCCTGTCTGGATCTCACCCATTCCAATGCAAGCCCTGCCCCTAGGAGAGGACCACTGGCCTTTGTTGCACCTGCTCAGAGCTCGCTGTTGGATCTACTTCCCTTCCATTCTCCCACAGCCACTGTGATAGTATTACTCCCATTTTACAGATGACAACCCTAAGGCTCAGGCCCTTGGACCTAGCCTAAGTCTGAATTCAAATTCTGAGTCCCTCACACTTCCTTAAACCCCAGCTTTGACTCTTCACTGTGGTCCACTTGCTCTACCATAACTTCCTGGTCTCGATCCTGATAACCTAGAGGTCTTTCCCAGTCCCCCTGACTCAGCTTTTGATGGTGAAACAGCTGCTGTCTTTTTGGAGAGGGAGAGGGAGAGAGAGGGAGAGGGGGATTTGTGTTTAGAAAGGATACCAGGAGAAATCTTGCCTCCAGTATTCTTTCTAATACTGGCGGCATAGCAGTCTTGGCTTTATCTAATTTTCTGCTTAGTGAAAAATCTATGCGAAAACTAAATATGTATTTTGTGTGGTGTTTTAGTTTACTTTGAAAATGATTCAAAATGTACAACAGCTCTTTTAGAGCTTACAACAGCCTTATCTCATTCAAGTTAAGCTACTATTACCTTTTTAGATAGTAGAGTGAGAGATAGAAAAAAGAACGAGGCGAAGGGCCTGCCCTGAGAGTGCTTAGAGTTTATTTGATAAAGCAAGAATGTAGCTACTGTGTGAATATCACATGTGCACACACACACACAGTGGGGAGGTGCTGAATAAGACAGTTACAGGCATCCAGCTGACAGCTTGCTGTGTGCAGGGTGTTTTGGGAAAGAAATCATGTGGCATTGCTGCTAAACCCTTAGTCATTAGCAGAAAGGTAAAGGTGTGTTATGTGTCTTTCAGCAAATTCATCTCCGACCGTGAAAGCAGAAGAAGTCTCACCAACAGCCATTTGGAGAAAAGGAAATGTGATGAATATGTAAGTGTCACCGGTGTGCACACTGACTCTGTCTAGCCATGTGACTGGGGACAGCGGTTCTGTGTGTGTAGTATAAAAGTCAGATGCATTTTGGAGACAGCACTTTAATTCACATAACTCATCGCTGAAAATGTGACTGTGTTGCTGGCTGCGTTTTCTCATGCAGCCCATTCAAAAAGTTAGACTGCAAAAAAAAGTTTTCCAGTTTCATTTCTGTCTGGGTTCTTAGTAGCATTTGAAGGCTTTGGCTTGAAGAACTAACTGCCTTTCAACCATGTGCCTAGTGAGCATGTCTGTTTCTACCATTCAGATTCCAGGAACGACCTCCCTGAGCATGTCTGTCTTTAACCTGAGCAACGCCATTATGGGCAGTGGGATTTTGGGACTCGCCTTTGCCCTGGCCAACACTGGAATCCTCCTTTTCCTGTGAGTATTGACATGACCATGTGTTCTGTTTTACATGTTTTATGTGTGCTTCCTGTCAGATTCCAAAGAAACCCAGGATGAGTGGCTAACTCTGGTGTCTATTAGCTTACCAAAGATCATTCTTGGCCTCTAGGCTCACTCAGTACCTCCCAGCACTTCTCACCCAACTCCCTACCCTAAACCTCCCCCACCCAGGGGGCTTCCCTTCCCTTCCCCCAGCTCCTTATCCCTATATACACCTGTCATTTCAGCCATGGATTCTTTCCTCTCCTCCCTAGGTCTCTGTCTAGGTTTCACTCTTGGTCTATTTCCCTCCCCCCCCCCCCCCCCCCGCACACACACTCCTCGTGGCCTGGTTCAGTCTGGATTCTTCCATGTGCCTCTGGCCCTACTCTCCTTCATATCTATAATAAAAACCTCCTCAGCCATACCCAGGAGCGAGCATGTTTCCATTTTGACATAGAAAAAAAGAATTTTATTTATCTGCTTCTTTATTAATTTGGCTAAGGAACCAGTACATACCTTCAGGTCTACACTTGGTGCCTCCAATAAAGAAGAAATTCTTCCTTAATCAGACCGAAACATTCAAACTTAGCTTTAACTTTTTTCATATTTGTTATTTCTGGACTCTTGTCACTGTAAATCTCAGCCACATGGCCACATCATTAAAACATATTTAACCCAGACTTTCATCATTCTGGTATTTGGGCTGCTTTGAGGCATGGACTGGGCTGGAAGGTAATTGTGTTGTGGTAACTGTCCCACAAGTACCAAAGAATTGTTTGTTTTGGAGACAAGCAGTTGGTGTGTACCTTGCCTCAGAGTCACTGACAACAGGCAATTTTCTGTTTGCCTAAGTTTGTCTCAAACTGTTAGGTGGGGCTTGGCAAATATTTTCAGTTGGAATTTGATTGAAATGGGCTACATGGAAAATTGTCCTATGTCCTGACTGTTGACACTCACGCTCAGGTGTCTGGGATGTCACACCCTCCTGTTGGCCAGCACCGTGCTCCTCTGGTCCTTTCAATGGAACCTTTGTTTTTTGTTCAAAGCAGTGACCAAACTGGCCAGATAATGTATACACAGAGAGACACACAGACAAACAGACAATTCATGTATGCATGTGCTATATATGGCAAGCCAGGTACCAAGTTTAAGAATAAAGTGGTGATATTGGAAATATACTTTTGTGGTGAATTTATTTTTCCTGCTTGACACTCTGAACCTCTGAAGATGCCACAGACACACTTAGGTAGTTACAGTTGATTTTTGTTGTACATCAGAAGAGCATCTGTGTGTCATACCCCACCCCACCCCACCCCATCTCTTCTTCTGTACACCAGTGCTGTCTTAAGCAGCTAACTGGACCCCTCTGAGTTTGGGTTCCCTTTCCAGGAAAATAAAGTTTTGTTAGGAGTGTCTCGGAGAGCTACCAGTCTCTAAATCCCCATGACTCTGTGACTTTTCAGACATTCCAGTGCTAGCCATCTGTTTATTTGGAAATGTGTATTTTTATCAATTTCCTTTGCTTCTTCTTTTTCAATTATTACTATTATTAGTATGGGGGCTTGTGCATGAGTGTGGAGATCAGAGGACAACCCTATGAAGTTGGTTCTCCACCTTTACGGCGTGTATGTGTGCCTGACTCAAGCCGTCAGGTTTTTGTGAAGCAAATGCCTGTACTCAACTAGCTGTCTTATGCCTCAGCATTTTTTTGTTTGTTTTAAATGTACTGTAACATATATCAAGTTATGTGTGGACGAGGTGTTAAGCATCACCTCCCTGCCGACACAACCACTCCTGTAGCTCTGACTCTGCACCGGGTGGGTCTTCATGGAATCTCTGTGTCAACCATGGGGAAAGGTACTTTTGCCGGTTCCCTGTTCCTGTTTCACAGATGATGGAACTGATGCTTAGAGACTCTTGGGCTTGGGGTCTTAGTCTCTCTCTCTCTCTCCTGGGAGTTATCTTCCCTGCCAAATCTCTGGAGTCCTGTATCCATCCATCGCCTGCTTCCTCACCCTCAGTACTGAGACACATGCCCGTATGAATGATACTTCTGATGTACCTGTCTTTGATTAGCAGTTTTGGCAGCCATAGCCCTCAACAGTTTGCCTTCAGGATTTTGAGGAAGTTGCTGTCTGGCCTTCCTGTGGCGAGGTCTCATGTGCTTCTCACCCGAGATCTTTTCTGCACATTCTGTTTTTACTGGGAATGTACTGCATGTCTTTTTCCCCTCTGTCCTGCAGTTCCTTGATGTGAAACTTCTTTAGTCATATCAGGCCCTGGGTCATCTTTTTCATTTCATTTTGTTTTGTTTTCTTAGTTTTATTTTTTGGGGCAAGGTCTCTCTCCATAGCCGCAGATGTCCTGGAACTCATTATGGAGGCCAAGCTGCCCTCAGACTCACAGAGATCTTGCTTCTGCTTCCCTAGCGCTGGTCTTAAAGGTGCTCACCACCACATCTGGTCATCTTCTTCATTTTGAAATTCAGTGCATGGCCTTCCGTTTGGGAGCATTTCCTTCCATCATTGTGTATTGGTGATCTTTGTTTTGTCTACCTTCTGGACCTTTCCCCCTCCCCACCTTTACTGACTTCACTCTACTTCCTAGGCTGTCAATTTTCCTCTAACTCTTGGTTATTTTACATCTGTTAGTCTTTCTTTTGGAGAAGCTTATTTAAACTGTTCGCATCCATGTCACTTGGCTCTGTGTCATGGTTTCAGCATGTTCTCTGAGGACTCCTAACAGTGGCTCCTCTCTAGTATGGAAAGTTTCAAACATGGAGTGGAATAAAAAGATTTTCATGTCCCCTTCCTTCTACAACTACACTTGTTTGACCAACTCCACCCCTAGATTCCCTTGAAAAGCCAGCCACATCACCCCACTTCATTCACAGACATGTCCATGCATTGCTCTAAATTGTTAGCACCCCAGTGTCGTAGCTAAAACCTACAGGCAAATGGTTCTTTAATAGCAAATACCCAGCTGATATTAAAATTGCTCTGATTTGTGGTTTTTATTTTATTGCAGTGGTGTCTTACTATGTAGACACCTGGCTACTCATAGAACTCAGAGCTCTGCCTGCTTCTGCCTCTCCAGTGCTGGGATTACAGGTACACATCACCACAAACAAACAAACAATTGGGATATTCAAATAAGGTCCATAGACTGCAGTTGACTGATATGCCTTAAGTCCCTTCGAATCTATGATGGTTCCCCATTCTCTCTTTTATTGGGTAAACTGGGAATTTTGTCTACTGATTCCAAGCCATTGGCATTTGCTGATGGAGCCCCATGCTCCCCATTAACTTTTGTTTGTTGGATGCAGCCTTCCATGTCACATTTTCCTTAGTGTGAGGTGGTGCTCCCACTTTGTCTCTGGTCTAGAATGGGAAGACAAGGCTGAGTTGAGCCCGGCACAGATGCACAGGGCTTGTAGGTAGTAGCTTCCCTTGAGCTACTTGCAGAAGTTCTTCACTCCAGGGACCAACAATGTAGGTTCTGTAGGATTCTCCTCTTTGGCTGTTCAGATTATCCTATCTGCACAGCATGGCCATGGCTGCCATCTTTGTGGGGACCAAAGGAATAGGGAGAATGTCCCAGCATGTATGTGTTCCTGAATGTCCAGTTTGAGTTACAACTCATGCCTATTCTATACCTTGAAACTGTGTTTGTTTATTTTAAAGAAAGGTCTCACTGTATAACCCAGGCTGGCCTCCAACTTGCAGTCCTCCTGCCTCCAGCTGCTTAAATGCTAGGATTATAGATGTGTACCACTATGCCTAGCTAGACCTATACCATATGTTGACCAACGTCTTCAGATTTTTGCCAAAACAGTCTTTATGGTTTATAATTGTGGTCTGGGGGCATCTAGCAGCTTCTTCAAGGAAATTAAACATACTCAGCACATTTTAGCCCACCCTCCCATTGCTGATGGCTTCTAGGAAAGCTTCCAGTACCTTTGGGTGTTTCTGGAATGATCTAGATTGGTCTTGACCCTTCTATCGGTTCAGTTTCCAGCTCTGTCCAATCTTTCTCCAATGATGTTTTCTTGTGTGTCACTGACTTAGCAGTTTAATAGAAAATGTACAAATAAAGTAAGACAAAATCCCCTCCATGGCTTTTCACAGGGGAGCTGGAATAAATCCTTGAATCCAATCTTCTATTCCTAGGAAAATCAATGACTTTTAATTATACTGGTTTAGGGATAATTGATCTCGTGTGTTGTTTTTAATCTCTGGAAGAAGCTAAGGATTGGGTAAATCAGTGCTTAGTGTTTAACAGGGGAGTGGTGGCGGTGGAGGAGTGTTTCCCCAGGATGAAGCTGTTAGGAGTCATTCTATTTGATACACACGAAGAGCTTGCACAGCCTATCAAACCTCAGGGTGGAAATCTCTCAAAGGCAGTCGTAGACACTCAAAAGTTTCTCCCAGAGCATGGAATGGAACTTCATGGCTTCAGGACAAGGAAGCACTGCTTTGTTTTAAAACCGGCTGCCCCTGCCGCTCACAGCCAGTGAGCATTGGCAGGCTTAGGTATCAGCTGCTCCAGGGCCCTGGTCCAGGCTCCCTGGCCAGCAGGGAAGGGGGGGGGGGTCCAAGGCTGCCCAGGCTTTAGAGCCACAGCTGGGAAGGCTCCTCCCTGTCGCTTCGTGTAGAGCTCTTCACTGGGTCTCCTGGAGACTTCTTGGTGTAACTTCTTTTTCTTGGGTGCGTTTCAGGTTCAGTTTCTGGCCTAGTATAACGGCTGCCATTGCCATGTACCACATCTAATTCAATTAAATCGACGGGTTCTGGCCTGTTAGAAGAATACAGTTAAGGCTTGGATTTTGCTGGATTTTAGGTCCTTAACATTACATTCAGGGAACAGGAAGTGTGCTGGTAAGGAATCACAAAGTACAGCTCAGAGAAAGGGTTCCTTTTCTGTGGAAAACAAAATAGGCTAAAGTTACCATAGAATGCAGTTTGCACAGGAGTAGAGCTCCAATGAAGGAGTAA